AATAATTTTCAAATATTACTGTTTAGCCGGCTTAATTGCCTTTAAAATCAATTGGAAAAAAATTCCCGAATTTTAACTCTCATTTTCAAATGACTTATGCTTATCCTGGCGATAACATCTGTGCATGGAGCCGTTAAATTTCTTAATGTAAGATGAAAACAGAATCCCTTTTCACAGACCACCCATATTCAGTGGAAATTACAAAGAAAGTTAAAAAACAAAAACGAATGCCGAACGAACGAAAAAAATCCGAAAAAAGTAACAGATGTACATATAACTGATTTTTTTCTCTTCTTCACAGTTTTGAGTTTTAATTTTGTATCATCACAATCTGATGTTCTGTTTTTTTCGGATTTTTTTTGTAGTTTTGAATTTTATGATAGGACACCAGTAAGAAACAGAAATCATATTGAAATCCTGCTTGATAAGCATTTAAGCCATCTGTTTATTCCTGGGAAGTCGCACGCACAAAAATACAACGTATGTTGTCTTCGGCTGTTGTTGTTGTTTGCTGCATACGCCCGATCATCAAGGAAACCTTTTCTTGAAGCCTATCAAGTTGCATACCTCCTTGCTGCATGACCAGGCCAAATGCAAGAGAGTTGCATCGCCAGCCATCCAGCCAGTTGACTCTGGGCCTCTTTCAACATGTTTGGCCGCATGGTAAACAAACTGGCTGGCTTGACCGACTGCCAAGCTAGCCATACAGCCAGAAGAAGAAAAAAAAAAAACGGCCAACAGCACCATGTGCCGGATTTTGTTTTTGTTTATGGCAATTAAAGGCCTACGAGAATATGTGTGAAGAAAATGTAAACTGATATTTACTGCAAGCGAGCGAGCGAGTGAATGAGCATATGAGCCCAGAGGACCGACTGCCTGATACTCGTATGTTGAAATAATTATCATGAAAATTAAAGTTTAATCACCAGCACACGACCAGGCTTTTGAGTGAGAACTAGAAGCAGGGGGACATATTTGAGATTTTTGTGTTGGGGAGCAGGGATTTTTTTTGGTGTTGGTTGAGGGTTGAAGGTGGCATTTAATTAATTAATTAATAGATTGATCATGTCGTTGTAAGTGCCAAAGAATATATGATATTGCTTTGAAAAAGGTTATTTGCAAAAAATATATATCGGAGCTATAAATATTTGGGAATCGAGTTCCACCAAATGGAAAAATTCGGAGGTATGTGCCAAAATCCACTTCATTTGGGCTGATATTATCCATTTGGTGCACAATAACAGTAAAATCGGATGAAGATATAAATATGAGACCTATACAGGGATGAGATGAAAAAACTGCAACCAAATTCAGACTGCTGTCATTTCTAAGCCACTCGTCCGACAGCTGTTAAAATTATTTCAATGACAGCTCATTATATTGTTTACAAGCGTACAAAACCAATTTGGTGAGAATTTTCCAGAAAAAGAGTTATTCGTGACGGGATTCAAGCGTGATAGTGTGATTTCTTTATATTTGGCTGGAAAACCACAAGTAGCTATCGTTAGAGCTCTCCAGCATTCACATGTAAATAAATCTTTTGTGTCTCGTATCATCGCTCGTTACCGTGATACTGGTAGCGTAGTCCGACGTCAAGGAAGTGGACGGAAGAAAACAGCAACATCAGCAGAAATGGTTCGAAAAGTAAAGAAGCGACTTGATCGAAACCCTCGCCGCAGTGGCCGAAAAATGGCTCGTGAGCTGAACATATAGCAATATTCCATTCGGCAAATTCGTTGCTCAGCAGTTTGTAAACAAGCAAACGAACAAATGATCGTGTTTACTTGCCAAAGAGGTCAGCTGAAAATGTGCACCTTCGGTTGGCCACCAGAACTCAAGCACCGGCTATGGTGGTGTGGGCCGCCATTAGAGCCAATGGTCGCTCTCCGCTCGTATTAATCGACTGTGGAATCAGAATAAATGCCGAATATTATCGCGAAAATATTCTGAGCTCGGGGTAAAGGCATTGAAATTCCAAAAATGCAAGAATTTACACCGCTGCAGAAAGGAAGAAAATATACTCAAAAGAGCTAAAGAGTTGCTTCACTTGGCCGAACGTGGTGAACTGCCGATGAGAAAACATTCATTGTCCAGCCGTTTGTAAACAAACAAAATGTTGGCCAAAGAGGTCAGGTGAAAATGTGTACCTTCGGGTAGCCACCAGAGCTCAAGCGCCGGCCATGGTGATGATCTGGGCCGCCATAACAGCCGATGGTCACTCTCCGCTCGTATTAATCGACCCCAAAAATGATTAAAAAAAAAATTATGGCGTTTGACTTTGTTGCAGTTTTTTTATCTCACCCGGTATTTGGGAGCTTTATCTGAACCGGTTTTCAAAAATTTTAAAGTACTTGCTTCTAGTCTGAATTCGGTTAAATTTGCCGAAATACAACTTATTTTGACGAACATTAAACATATGGCGCCCAATTAAATTGAAATCGGACATTGATATATATGAGAGCTATATCTAAATTTGGACCGATTATCACGAATGTTAAAAAAATCTATGTGTCAATTTTTCTGGAATATGTGTCAATTTTTCTGGAATACTTTTCGGTCATATGGGATCCTATTTATAAAAACCCCCTGCGATCGCAGCGAGTCTGTTCAATTTTCTGCTTAAGATGTTTGAACTTTTCCTTTGATAATCTTCTACCATACTTTAATAGACTCTCCCTGATCCAGCTGCAAACTTTGTTAAATGCCTCCTTTCTTTATAATGTCATTATGGTTGATATTTCAGCCGGATTTTTTGTTAACAACACAAACTTCAATGTTCCTCCACATACCACATACCCCACTATGTACCACTAACAATTCAATTCTCCAGAAGTAATTATGAGAATGTCAAAAGATTTTTTTGTAATTTTAACTGTAAAATACTCATTAATAATTAATAAAAAAAATAAATAATAAAAACATTTAGAGATTTCCAAATTTTCCAGGTAATGTCGGGATTTTTATTTTAAGTGGTGGGGAGGTGGTGAAAATGCTAGTATTTAATTAATTAATTGCGTGATTTTAGATGTTGGATTTCAATAATAGCAACTAAATATTATTAACCCCCCTTTGATTGACAAATATTTCACTTAGGTTTTATTTGTGAACCGTGAGAGGGGGTTTTGTTTTATTATTAATGTGACACTTTTATCTAGACAAATACTTAAATGAAGAACCAGCCAGCGAGTCATTCCATGGGAGTCCCCCTCAGTCCATCAGAACAAAAAATATGGGGGTTGGTTGGGACAATTAAATTATGTTATAAAATCGTAAATAAATAATACCAAACAATTAACACAAGTTGTAGCAAAACAAAAACAGAATGTCACAACGAAAAAGAAGCAAAACACGCATTATTGCCCTGGCTTTAGATGCGTTCGTTGGTATGACCAGTTATAAATTCTAATGGCCATTTCTGGTGGTGTTCAAGTTTGATTATTTCATTTCATTAAAAGGGTTCAATTCGCTTGCTCTCTCTCTTTTTTACCTTTGCCAGTATTCCATTCATTTTTCAATTAAACGAATTGAAGCTTTGCAGCCGTAATAAATATAGAAAAAAAAAACAACACCAACTGAAGAGCTAAACATTTATGGCCTCTAATGTTTTGGTGTAATACGCCAAACACGATATTAAGCAATTAAAATCTATAATGAAAATTAAAGGATTTCAATCAAAAATCTATTTGCCAGCCAGGCAGCCAGTAGGCAAATATACAACATTCCCGTTTGTCAAATGAATATTTGATTTAATTGCTTGCCATGGCCTCATTTAGAGTTTCGATAAAGGCAAATGATGGGAGGAGGGCGGATGAGGTTATAGATTTCAATAAATATTGAAATTAATTAAATAAGAGGGGGTCATTTTGTGTTAACCAGTGGTTGTGGGAAGATTTGAGGGGATCTTCCTCCCACTTCTCAGGGATCTATAGCTATATGTGAATCGATTTTCAAGAAATTGAAAATACTTACTTCTAGGTTGAAATCGGTCGTATGTACCGAATTACAACCTATTTAGACGAATATAAGACATATGGCGTCCAATAAAATTTAAATCCGACGAAGATTATATGGGGATATGTGAAGTTGTATGGGAATATATAAATTTATAGATTTCAATAAATATTGAAATTAATTAAATGAGAGGGGTAATTTCGTGTGAACTATTGATTTAAGGAAATCCTCCCTCAACTTCTCAAAGTTTAAGGACATATTAGGTCGATCGATCTACTCATGCTGCTGAAAATAGCAAACGCTCATGTTTGATTATGAGTGAAGTTATTCAATACAAAAAAAAAGAACTATTGCCTATTGACAGATGCGTTCCGGATCTGGGTATATTTGTGAGTATTTGCAAAGCGACTTTCGATTTTACTTGAATGAAGAAGGAGACTTTGCAAATGACTCAGAACACATTTTCTTCTCATGCAGTTTTTGGGTAAACCTTCGATCGGAGCTGGAAATAGAAGCCGACGCTTTTTCAAAAAAAAAAAAAAAAAAAAAAAAAAAAAAAAAAAAAGACAGAATCCGAAGAAAACTGGAATGCAACATTCGAATTCTGTGAGAAATTGCTAACAATCAAAAAGAGTGATTTAGACAACCCTTTAAGACCTCGAAACGAATAGCGGAGCAAGTTAGAAGAAGAAGATCTTGGAAACTCCTCAAAGTAATACGACAGTTGTGGCGAGGTGTTCACATCTCCCAGAGGTTGGCAGGTGGATTTTTTAGTTGGTATCAAGATTAATTTTATATTTATGGAAGAGAATCTCACGTAATTTGTGGAGGATACTCCTAATTTTGTGGATTTGGTGAATTGCCTCAATCGAATTCAGCAAGGATTTCCACCGCAAAAATAGGGACATCCCTTTACAAATATGTCCGACTTTTTTCCTGTTGATGTAGTACAGTTTGAGTTTTTTCCAAAATGTGTACGTCATGTGGTAACTTCCTCTCTTTCCCATCATTGAAATACTAAATATGTAATTTCAATCCCGAAAACTCACCTGAAAATTTCTGGCCACTCGCTTTTCGCCACTGTTCGATGCTGTGCCACCACTGTGGCCACCATCACTGTCCGGATGACACGATGACGAATGTAGACCATCTGCTGGACTACCACCAATGGCTGCTGTTGAATCAGGATGTTGTTGCTGCTGTTGTTGTTGTGATGCTGCTGCCGCCGCCGCTGCTGCAGCTGCCATATACTGATGATGATGTTGCTGCAGCAATGACAATTTATTCTCTTGCTCCTTGTGGTAATCCTCACTAATACTATCGTTATCACTGGATGTTTGTTGCTGCTGTTGTTGGTGTACGAATAAATCAACACGCTGCTGACACAACAACTCCAATTCACGCTGTGTCTGAGCTTTCAAATGTTGGGTGAGCAATTCCAAATTGTTGCCGGCCAGTCCGGCCATAAAGGCATTGCGATGAGCATTGATTTGTTGCTGTTGAGCCGTTTCCAATTCAATGTTGGCTTTATGATTCGAGAAATTTGAGCGGGGAAAAGTGGCTGGTCCGGAAATGGAGGAGAGTGGTGTAAGGAGATTGCTGTCCTGTACAGATTGTTGACGGCTAAAACTGTTGCGTCTTTCATATTTGAATTTTCTCACAATCGGATCCATTTCCATTTGTTCCTCATCCGTATTGTGGGTGTTGGCGGCCAGCGGCAGACTGGTGTTTTTCTTTTGGGCACACATACTGGCCGGTGACCAAATGGAATTGCTATGATGTGTTCGTATTTTCACCGATGTTTCATAATCATCTTCGGGGGTTTTGGGTGAGGAAGATTTGAGATTAACCGCTCTTAAGGGTGGTGGTGTGCCACTACAGGAGGCTTGTTCCTCATTGGCGGATTCCCGTTTGATACACAAATTCAATGGCATATCTTCATTAAGGCTGGTGTTCTCTTCTTGCGAGGATCCGGATAAATCCTCCTTTTCGGGAGTGAGAGCATAATCCCGACTATTAAGGCTGGCATTGAAGGGAGATTTTGGGGTAATTGGTGTATGGGGTGTGTGTAAGGCGGAGGCTGATGATAGTAGGAATTGTGGCCACAACAGGGCACTTGAGTATAGCAGGGGATTGTAGAGAATGGGCGGTATATCTGAAATGAAGATAAACAATTTGGTGTAGTTAAATAAATTGTGGAGAGAAAATTAATAAATGTTGGCTGAAACCGGAAAATGAGAATTAAAAACTTTCCGAGGAATTAGGAAATAAATAACAAAAAATATTAAAAATATTATTTTTTATAAAACAAACAATATTTTGGGTGAATTTGGTAAAGCCCAACCAAAAATATTAGCTACAAAAAATTGCTGAATTCTTCAGGGGTTTTAAGGAAGCCCTCCTAGCTAATAATCTTTGTTTAAAAAGAAAGAAGAGTGAATCAAGAAAGTATGAAATACACAAAAAAATGAAATAAAATAAAAATAAATAAAACAAAAAATATTAAAAAAATATATTTTTATAAAACAAAACCATTTTTATTTATTTTTTAAGAATATTTAGTAAAAGATCGATCAAAAATAATTCAAAAGTTCTGCTATAAAAAATTCCTGAAGTTTTCTAGAAGCGTTAGGGAGCTCTCTTTGTTTTTTTTTTTCTAAAATTAAGCCATTGCTCTTTTTTTTTTGTTCAAGAGGAATCTACTAATGGAGACCTGCAAGAGTGTTCTTTTGTGCGGAATGCGAAATCTGGACAGAGAGCATGCTCAATAAACAGAGGCCAAAGAAACTCCTTAAAGTATCAGGAACTTAAAGCGTTGAGAGGCCTAGTGTTACAAATTATATCGAGCTGGTACCAATCGATTTGGTGACAGAAGAGCTGTTGAAAATATTTGAAGCAAAACATTCCCGATATGAAGTCTCAGAACATGCTCAAATAAAAGAGGAGACATTCGAAAATTGGCAGACGAGAGATATATGACAGATGCTTAGCGAGGCTCATCCTAGAAATAAAAGCATGGACAAAATTTAGACATGGAAATGTAAACTTGAGGCATCGGTATTTCCGTAAATATCTATTTAATCATGGGAAAGATCATTCCCAGTTTTGCTTGCATTAAATAGCCCACATTGCAGATTAAGCAGAAAATACACTATTCTTCTTAATGCAGTTTGGCAGATCTTCGATCAGTACTTGTAATACAAAGAGGCACTTTTTCAATCGCTGCTAAAATGAGAGAGTTAGAAAAAGCTGAAATGCAATATCCAAATTCTGCGAAAAATTAAAATGGGACTTAGGAACCCTTCTAAGACCTCGAAACGAATATCAGAGCTTTGACGCAAGCTTGAAGAAGGCTTTGGAATATGAAGGCTTTAGAAGACCAGGAGTCAACTCGAAGCAATCGTCAAAATCGTTGGGAAAATGACAGAAACAGAAGAGAACTGGAATGTAATGACCAAATTCTGCGAGAAGTTACCAAAAATAATAAGAGGAAAGTTAGACACCTCCCTAAGACCTCGAAACGAACATGCGGGACTTAGACGTAAGCTAGAAGAAGATGAAGGCCTTAGAAGCCCAGGAGTCAACTCGAAGTAATCGTCAACATCGTTAGGAAAATGACTGAAACAAAAGAGGACTGGAATGTAATGACCAAATTCTGCGAGATGTTATCAAAAATACAAAGGGAGAACTAGAAGAAGCTGAAGGCCTTAGAAGCCCAGGAGTCAACTCGAAGTAATCGTCAACATCGTTGCGAAAATGTTAGAAATGGAAGAAAACTGGAATGCATTATTCAAATTCTGTGAGATGTTTTAAAAAATTAAAATAAGCAACTTAGACACCGCTCTAAGACCTCGAAACTTATTACGGAACTTAGACGCAAGCTAGAAGAAGAATCGTCAATATCGCTGCGAAATTATAGAAACGGAAGAGAACTGGAATGTAATATCCAATATCTGCCAGTAATTATCAATGATAAAAAGTTAGAACTAAGGAACCCCTCTAAGACCTCGACACAAGCCTTGGAATAATCCCTTTAAGGCATATGAATATGTTTTTTTTTTATTTCGTATTGTTCCATTAAAAATGCTTCTAAATTTGCTTTAAAGCAATTCAGTTCGGATAAATTCCAGAAATATAAAATTCCGCTTCTAAATCGTCTTACAGATATGATCAAAATCTTCACAACTTCCAAAAAACGGGAATCCTTTGAAAAATTAAAAATAGTGTGGAATATAGGATAAGCCCAATAGAGAATTAACGAGGAAGATCTCAAAATTTCTCTCTTGGTTTAACCAAATCAAAATCTATGAGCTTTTCACTCACTCTATTGGCTTCACCCTAATGGACGATTTCGAATAATAGAGCTTTGAAACGCCCAAAACAAATTTGCAATTTATCTGTGAAGTGAGAATTTTTGGAAACTCGTTTTGAAACGCCCACAAAAAATTTAAGTTTTTCTGTGAAACAGGAATGTTTCTAAACTGTATTCAAGACGTCTAAATGATACTTTTCGTGATAATATTTTTTTAAAGTATTCCAGAACTATTTGATACTCCATAAAAAATATAAGTTTCTATTAGACTGAAAGAATAATTTTTCAGGAAAATAGGAAGCTCCAAATTATTGTTATTTTTTTCTCTCTAAATTGACTTGAAGCTGTGAGCTTTTATTTCAAGTGTTCGGTAACTAATCGATACTCCATAAAAATATATAAATTTCTATTGGACCGGCTGAATAATTTTTTAGGGATAATAGGCAGTACCAATTTATTACCCTTTTTTGTTATTTTCTAAGTATTTGGTTTGATTTGATGCCATTTTCTAGAGAATGATTATAAAGAAAACCTCTAATTAAGATGAGGAAGCTGAGGCTTTAAAGCTTGAACAATATGGAAATTTTAAAACGGTAATTTATGAGGATTTTCTGTATAAAAGGATAAAAACTCTTCCAAATAATATGGGGATTCATTGGAATTTTCCTCCTTAAGATATCTTCTTCTTTTTAAACCCCTCACATCCTCATATATCGCGTTCAAAACTTACCTCTGGTATTAAGTTGTTGGGCAGCAGCTGTGGCCATAACATTGTTAAAGGCCGAAGCTCGTTGTATCCAATTTTTGGAATCCACCGACGCCGACGAGGCAGCTGAACCGAAATTACTCAATTGAGCGGCCTTGGATTGTGGGGAGGGTGGGGGTGATAAATGATTCATTTTAACAAGGATTTATTTTCGACACTTTAAATAAAAATTTAACACTTGTTTTTTTTTTGTTTAAATAACGGGTTTATTTTTTTTTGGATTTTTTTCCAAAAACAAAAAAATTCAAATCCACTTGTTTTTTTCTTCTTTTCAATATTCCATTTCAGCAGTTATTTGTTGCACAATTAATTTTTTTTTTAATCCAAGTTTTCTTTATTCCTTCTTTTATATATCCCGTTAGAGAACGTCTTAACGTTTTTGAGCCAAGAAAACCAAACAAAAAAATTGTAATAGCAATGTTTTGTGAAAATTGTATTGGTTTCTTGTTAAGGCAAAGACCACACGTCCGTACGGTTTGGTGCTTGGCACCTGACTGAATCTTAAACCGTTCGTTAGGTTCTGAAAAGGCTAAGTTGCGATGCACATCGTAGTGAATGTTGGCCAACAGACAGAGGAGGGAGAGCCTTTAAACCAAAGTCAAAGAGACAATAAAAATGAAAACAACTGGCCAGGTTAGAGCAGCAGCAGCAGCTAGTGGTGGTGGTGGTGGTGGTAGTGCCTGCAACGGTGTTCCATGGCATTGTTGTTATTGTTACCGGTGGCAGAACCTCTTCAGCAACAACAACAAAAAAGAGCAACCAGTGAATATTCAACCACTGTTATGTTGTTTCCCTTTGGAGAAAAATCCAAAAATCAACCACTTTTATTCCAAAAAGCACGAAGGAAGCAAGGGAAAACAAAATCAACAACCACTTACTCTCGTGCCACGACAACGAAAAACGAAGGTGAAACGAATCAAAACGGTGTCTCGAGGCAATCGTAAGGGAAACAATTTGGTGTAGGAGCCTCCGTTAACTGACATTGTTGTTGTTTTTGTTAATGATGGCAGTCGTGGTGGTGGTGGTGATGGTGCTGATCGTGGCAGTTGTTCTCCATATGCCGCTCGCTGGCTGTTGGATGATCATTATCATCAAGGCACCCCTAAGAAGATGAAAAAAATACATATGTATATATTTTGGAATCAGAGGAAGAAACAACCAAAAAAAATGAAAACAACAAACCCCTGCTCTCGCAGATCAGCAAACTCACAGTTATTTACTCTCATAGCCATACACATACTCACCCAGCGGAGAGAGAGAGAGCATTTAACATTTTGACCGTATTTAAGCTATGTTTGCTCATCTTTCTGCTGCCCCCTATTTTCGTGTTAGTAGCACGCGTTCTATACTAATTGGTTTGTTGTATTCGCCGGTTTGTGGCGGCGCGACATAGGGTCACATGCACACACACACACAACGACAATTGGAAATATGTGTGTATTGTTTTACGTTTTTTTTCAAGGATTCCTTTTGCATGTCCTGGTTTCATTGCACAACTGACACTTTTCTGACCAGTTGTTCAGCGAGGAAAAGCGCCAACGTTGAAAAAACGTTATGAACTCATGTCCTTTGACTGTTATTCTTCGTTTTTTTTTGGCGGTAACAGGATCTGATCCGTTTTCATTTTTTTCACTTCCACACTTTTTAAACAACCTGTCATGTGTTTAAATATTTGTTTTTCGGATTTCCTGATTTTTTGTAATATAGCCGGATTTTGTTAACTTTGTTCTAACGTTGTTTTTATACCCTATAACACTATGTGTTCGGGGTATTATAAGTTTGATTGGGCCAAAAATTGTGTAACACCTCGAAATAATGGTTTGTGACATAGGAAACTATATATGGACCTTCCTATATCACCGAACTGAATCGATCTAGCTATGTATGTCCGTATTTCTATGTTAATTTGTAATCACGCTACAGGTCGCAATTGTGGCCCGATCCTCACGAAATAGAAAATGGAGGTGGGGTTAGGGTCGGAACAGAACCGTATTGTTTTTGGAGATCATCGCACAATATTTAGGGGTTGGAATGGACCAAAACAAAAGATTTTCCTGATTTTGCAGTTGCTCTTTAGGCCATAATTATGAACCAATCGACGGAAATTTGCATGGAGTTAGAGTTCAGGGCTGGGCAGAAGCTAACAAATTGGTATGATCATCGGCCAATATTTAGCGGGTAAAATAAACCATACATTTTAAAATTTCCTCTAAACTGCGAATATTTTTAATCCCGGTCAAATTAAAAATACATTTAAATATCACTTTTAACCATTGCAGTAATGTTAATATTCAAAATATCGGTTTTTCAATTTGATTTACAATTTTTAATTGTAAATTTTCTAAGGTTTTTCTACACGCCACAACACTATGTGTTGAGGGTATTATATACAGGTCGCAATTATCGTCCGAACCTCACGAAATATAGCATTGGGATAGGGTTAGGGTCAGAATTAAAGCCTATTGTTTTTAAAAATGTTCAAATGGACCAAAAAATTAAAATTTTCCTGATTTTGTCGCTCTACAGGTCACAATTGAAAACCAATCGAAATTTTCCATGGGATGGGAGTTAAGGACAGAGAAGAAATCTAGCATTTTGAAAGACCATTTGATTATATTTATCTGTAAAATGGACCACATCTTTCGTGTGAAATTGTTTTGAATACCTAACAAAACTACGGAGTGCGTAAATATTGGCAAATGCCCCAGGTCAATAAGCTAAGGGTAATATTTGAGCAGTGCTTTATGTCATATTTTCAAAAATGAAATTTTCTAAAATGGGTTTGGACATAAGGAGACTTCCGACATTGTCGGCCCCGCACGGTTATAGCCTTTGCTTACTTGTATTTAATTGTCATAGCTCCTCCTTACACATTCCAATATTGACATCACCACTACACAGAGAACGAAGATGGATATACGTATATATGAACACATTTTTAAATAAAATCAAGTTTCTCATTGACATTTATGGAAGTATCTTCGATCCAATCCTCAGCAGCAAGCTAATAAAAGCTCATTATTTTGGAATGTGGAAATATTACATATGAGCATTTCCGCCAATATAGCATACAGCCATATAAATACACATAAAATGAACCAAATCCGAGAATTAACTCTAACTAGGAACATTGTAATATTTAAACCATGTACAATATTCGTGCACTTCTTTTCGCACCTTCTTCTTAAAGCGTCTTAAATTTGTGACATTTAAATTTATGAAAACGAAATAAATTTGTGTAAGTTTGGTGTGAAAATGAACAATTGATCCCTACTTCCCCTACCTCCCCCACAAAAGATCATCAATTTGAAGAATAATAACATTTCCTAAAACCAGTAAGGAAAAATCAAAAGTCGGTCGGGGCCGACTATATGATACCCTACGCCACTATGTATATTTAGTAGAGCTCCCGCAACAAATTAATTTATTTGAAGTAGATTATACCACCTATCAACATATGGCTTTAGAGCAGTTATATTTTGGTTTCAGAGGGAACTAATATATGGGAGGCATATCCAATTCTGAATCGATTTTCACTAAATTTGACGGACACATAAAAACAACAAATAAAAAAAAGAAGCTAAGTTCGGCCCGGCCGAACTTAATACCCTCCACCATTTCGAACGAACTTACAAATTTAAAAAAAAATCCGCAAATTACCACTTAAATGAAAACCTTTATATGGGGACTATACGAAGGCCTGAACCTCCATACGAAATATTTTGTCATAGGCTGCAGTGTTCATTACGAACTTCAAATACGCTAGATCTTCTTAATTTTATGCTGATCCAGAATATATATACTTTGTAGGGTCCATTAGGAATATTGCAAGGAGTCACAAACGGAATGACAAAGTTAATATACCCTCCATAGAATGGTGGAGAGTATAAAAATATATTTCGGAACCGAGTTCCACCAATTGGAAACGGACGTCCCGTAATTCCATCTATTTGGACTGATATTAGCCATCATTTGCCCAATAAACCTGGAATCGGTTTAAGAATATATATGGGAACTATAACCATATCTCAGCCGATCTTGATAAAATTTGGCAAATGTATTTCCGAGCTCTATAAGATATCTGATCCAATTATCATTGTTGTCAAATGCATATTACGACTGTGGGGGGCCCAAAGACCAAATCGGATGACACGTATATATGGGAGCAATAGTTGTATCTGCACCAATTATCTCCAAATTTGATGAACGCTTTTAGACTGAATTCGGTCGGATGTGACAAAATTCAGTTCATTTGCACTGATATTGGCCATTTGGCGCCCAATTAACCCGAAATCAGTGGAAGATATATATGGGAGCTACATCCAAATCTGAACTGATCTTGATATAATTTGGCAGAGACATTTCTGGGCTGTATCTGATATCTGGTACCAAATATCATTCCTGTGGGGTGCATATTATGAAAGTGGGGGCCTTAAACACTAAATCGGATGAAACATATATATGGGAGCTAAAGCTATATCTGAATCGATTTTCACACTCGATACACTTGCTTCTAGATTGAATTCGGTCGGATGTGTCAAAATTTGCACTGATTTTGACCATTTGGTGCACAATTTACCCGAAAGATATGTATGGGAGCTACATCTAAATTTGAATCGATGCTAATGTCAGTAGTGTTCGTCCTTGGAGCTAAATAAATATTGTTTGTAAAATTTCATAAATTCATAAATATAGTTTGTAAAATATCATAACAAATGCGACCTGCATTTTGTTCACAAAATACATGGACAGACGGACTGATATGTATAAATCAACTCAGAAAGTGATTATATGAAGATCCTCGATCCACGTATTACAAATTTATCAAAAGTGATTCAAACTTTTTTTATTATTTGGGAAACTAAATTATAATTAAAAAATTATACTTAAAATGGTGAAACATTGCAGATGCGTGGATCCTTAAATGCCGAATTCTAGTACACTTAACCTATTTACTTTTCTTTAAGACATTCCACAGACTATCAACCCCATGTTTTGTTTCAGTAATTTAATCATTGCTTCCATTTGGTTTAGTATTTGTTTCTATTTACCTAGGCACCTACATACACATATGTCTCGGTATTTCACATATTATCGTCCTAATCCCATTTGTATTGACAATATATATTTTACTAAAAATAAAGGAAATCCATCAAAAATATGTGCCTATAGCTGATTTGATGCA